TTGATGATCAACCCCTTTGGTCACAGATGAGGCCAGACTCAACTGTCAGTGGCTATTGAGCCACAGGCACCTGAGGAAAGGCAAGACTGGCTCTGACAGGTGGGCTTAGTTTACCACTGCCTCAGGAACCAGGGTTATTATACTTAACTAAAATCAATTTAAAAAAAGAACATTGAAATGGAGATACCAGCTAAAGTGATATGGTGTCTCTGTAAGACTAAATAAAACATACTAACGAAACATATTGGCTTATCAGTTGTTTTTATAAGCCTGGCGAACTGAGGTAAAACATTCGTTTTTCTAAGTCAGCTGTAGCTGAACCATTTTCTTTTTGAAAACGTTATCTTGTTATATTACCGTAGGTTATAAGTACATATAAACATAGTTCTAGAAATATAATATTATAAAATTTATATATTGTAAATATATTAATAAAAATGATACAAAATGTGTAAAGAAAACTTGTAGTACCAGACCTACTCATACTCGCTGTATTCCACTTCATCTGGGACCAGGTTGCAGGGGCAGCAGTCTCAGCAGAGACTTCCAGACTTCCCTCTCCCCAGACACTTCACTTGTACAGAGACAGGATAGCCTCTAGTAAAGGGCCCCCGACTCGGTACTGAAACGCCCCCCACAGGGCACCACGAGGGACATAGTTCAAATGCCTTTTTTTTCAGGTTCACAAAACACATGTGGTCAAGTTTGGCAAACTCTCAGGCAACCTGGACAGCTCTGCAGAGAAGGTAGAGCTGATCTACTTTGCTATGGCCACAACAAGAATTTTGCAGAGGAACCACCACCCTGGTCTTCAACTCCAGGGGTACTGTCCCCGACCTCCATGTGATGTTGAAGGGGATTGAGCCATGATAGTGCAATGGCATCCAGAACTCTAAAGTACTTAGGGCAGATCTCACTCACTCCCAGAGCCTTGACGCTTTGGAGTTTTTTTGACCACCTTGATTACTTCAGCCTGGGTGATGAGTGAATCCAGCCCTGATCAACCCATCTCTTCTTCCACCACGGAAGGCCATGTAAACCGGATTGAGGAGATCCTCTGAGTACCCTTTCCACCGTCTAACGATGCCCTCTTTTAAGCTCAGCAGCTCCCCACTTCTACTAAAACTATTATTGGCAAAGCACTGCTTCCCCCTCTAGAGATGGCAGAAGGTTGCCCAGAAACACTGAGGCCAGCCGATACCCGCTTACTGCTTCATGAGTTCCAAAAAGCCAACCATATTGATAAGACTGCTTCAGCTTAATAGCATCCCTCACTACCCCTGTCCACCACTGGATTCAGGGGTTGCTGCAACGACAGGCACCACAGACCATATGGACGCAAGGGCAGCTGCATAAAAAATGGAGGTGGAGAACATGGTTCACTCAAATTCCATGTCTCCAGCCTCCAATGGGATCTGGGAAAAGATCTCCCAGAAGTGGGAGCTGAACACGTTCCTGACTGAGGACTCAATCAGAAATTCTTAGCAGACCCTCAATACTTTCTTGGGCCTGCCAAGTTTGTCCACCCTCCTCCTCTTCCAGTATATCCAGCTCACTACCAGGTGGTGATCGGTGGACAGCTCCTTTCCTCTCTTCACCCGAATGTGTCCAAGATATGCAGCTGAAAGTCAGACTGAAAACTTGATAATCGACCTCTGACCTAGGGTGTAATTATGCTTGAACACGGTGTTCATTCAAAATCTGTGACTTGCACAGAAGTTCAGCAGCACTCCACGATTAGTTGTACTTAACGAGGAGACACACAGCATTCCAGATAAGATATGCACAAGTTCAGAGGTTTCAATAATAAATAACCAAGAGAACTTGTTATTGCCAATGTTAGACATAAATAGCATCTAACTTAAATGAAGCTTTAAAAGTTTGTTCCAAATGTTCTGCCCCACAAAGGGATTTTTATTACATTTAACAAGATTATAAGACTATTTGAAAAAGAAAAAATGATTGCCATAGTTTTATTTTTTGTCCACATCGCTAGAGGTGCACTGGTTGATCGGCCAGCTGATTTATTGGCCTCAATTTCCTTCATTTTTGGATTTTGGTGATTGGCCGATACTTAGATTAGAAACCAATCTTTTCCGATCTTATAACAACTGTCAGTGTCTAATTTTAGAAAATTGATAAATTAGTCAAAAATCAGAATTAGCATGTCAGGATTTTTAAAGATCTGGAATCCGTGATCAGTGGATTTGAATCTATGATAGCATCATGCTTCCATATGATGCTATTATTACAACATAGACTAGACTATTTAAGAACAGCTTACAATACCTTGTTTTGAAAAAAACAATATAAAGTCTCTCTAAAGGGTAAAAAGAGGTCCAACCAGGAACATTTAAAAAAATGGCCACTAACTGTAGGTAATGTTCCTCATAATAATAGCTCTATAACATCATATATATTTAGCATATAATAGATACCCACACACCACTAAGCTTATGAGCCCTTCGACGTTAGAAAGAATTAATTCTGCTAAGTGTACTGAGTCACTGCACGGACAATAAATCTTGTATGTTTGTACAGATATTTGCACAATAATAATAGAAGGTAAATGCTTACTTTTCACCTTTTGGCATTCTTCAAATGATCTTTGTGTTAATGTGTGACATGTCTAACCAACATTAAAGGAAAATATAACCCCATCAATCAGCTCATAACAAAAAAGAGAAAAGAACAAATAAGGAGGAAAAGAGCAGGTGATTGATGTCTTGGCAGAGAGTCTCTTCTCTGAATGGTGCCAACAGGAGTGTGCACCATTAGGAGCACAGATGCTAAGAATAGAAAGTATTTGGATGTTAGAGGAGACTTTTCTCATCCACCCTATAGAGGATGTTTATAATTTTACTTCACTGACAAAACACATGATGGCACAGTTTGTAGCAATGTTGCCTCGCAGTAAGATTGCCTGCCTGGGCTCTTTCTGCATGGCGTTTACATTTTCTCCCTGTGCATGTGTGGGTTCTTTCTGGGTAGTCTGGCTTCCTCCCACAGTCCATAAATTGGTTAATTGGCTTCTCTAAAATTGTCCTTAGGTGTGTGTGTGTGCAGGTTGTACTTCTTTGTATGTCTCGTGTTGCCCTGCAACAGACACACAAAGACTTGCATTAGATTTAAGGAAACAGATGAAAAAAAGCTTTATACTGAGCCTGAAGTCATGAAAATATAGGTGTAAAGTCGATCAAGCCTTTTTTGCACTCTTTACAGAAGGCAATAAGCAAAGAGTACAGTAATTTAGAAAAGTAGTGTTTTTAATTTTCAGTGGCTTTTGGTTTCTAAACTGTGAGCCTTGACATGATTTAGCCAATGTTTTTTTTATTATTATTATTTACAATGAAACAAAAGTAAGACTAAAACTAAGCAAACTAAACTAAACTATGCATTTAAGAGGTATTGCATACTAGTATCATTGTCTTCCCTTCCTGAAAACTATGCCTCACTATTTTCCTATAGTCAAAGTAAGACACCAAACTGCTTAAAAAAAGATATTCACTATTATTTTTTTACTTGAAAAGTTGAAAAGTCCCTTTTTTATACAGAGAGAACTCTTGAAATTAGTCTAAAGATATTCAGCGTCTCTGAATCTTGAAGTCCCAGTTATAAAATGGTGACAAATGATGAGGATGGATGAACCTGTTAATGTAGAAGACAATTAAATCCACATAAAACATTGTGAATTATCCAAAGGTTGTAAAACAAAAAGAGAACTGCTCAAAAATCACACAAAATTATTAATGAAAAATCCTGCTATTCACCACTTCATGCAATAAATAAACAAATATCAGTACCGACTTTAAAATGTGTCTAAAGAAACAGACATTTCATGCATAATGCTTTAGATGACATTTCCAAATTCAGGGGTATGTTTTAGCTGAAACGCAGAGCTGCTCCAACAGCAGCTACTTGGTTTTCAAAGGGTTATCTGTAAGCATTGTTTACCACTAGGATATGATTTGCTTACACCTGCAAAGTGTGATAATGAAAGCATCTCAAGATATTGGTCAAGCATAGATCAATACAGTGTACTTGGAAGCTATTGGATGATAAATGCATGGATGTTTCCAATTAAACTGAGATTTTGCAGGGGCAATCATATTTTGATGAATTGTTTGCAGTGCTGTGTTTCACTGCACAAACATGGAGAAAAAGAAAGTCATTTTTATCAGTAGAGCACTTTTCTTTTTCTATTGTTATTTGGACTTTAACCAAATGATAAATGGATAACAAAAAAACACTAAGTAAAGCAATCTATGCATTTAGTGACAATGACAATGCATTAAACCTGCTTGTGTAAATGCAGACGTTTTAGCTGTCGCAATTCTTTTAAGGTTTTGATAGCAGACTGTTTACAATCAACAAAAAGCTTCATAAATGAGTGAGCGTCTTTTGTTTTGTCATCAACGAGGCAAATGCAATCTAAGGTATTAGACTAAGTGTATTCATATCTGACAGAAAGTGCACATACACCCCACCCTTCCACTTCTCAAATGCTCCCATCTTGTCCCATTCCTAATAACCGCTTTGTTTACCCACTGTTTCTGAATGCTTGGATGCATAGCACTCAGGGATTATTACACTGCCTCCACTGTTTTTTTTTTCTTTTTCAGACAATGCTGATTATTGTAGATACTATTTCTGTCATATTATACTCTACAGCTTCTCCTAATTTTGTGGGTTTTCTTTTTCTTTAAATTGGTTGTGAATCTAACTGTTTCCCATTCTCTATTTTTTTATTTTCCCGTTTAGAAAGGCCTCCATATCTAATCTGATCAAACTCACCCTTTGGTGGTATCGTGTAAAAAATTATGGTCACAACATGGTCTAATGTTTTTTTATACATATGATAAAAGGGTCCTAAAGTGTTAAAGTAGTTTCCCTTTATAAATTTATTACTATTTTTTTAAGTAATTTTAGCAAAGAATGCTTAAGTTTCAACTGACTAATATTACATCTGATTTGTCTGTTTTTTTATATATATAATCCAGGAGATTATTCTTTTATACAGGTAAGGTGTTTTTGCATTTGGTAATGGAACAAGAGTGCAATAAAACTTTTCTCTCTTGCTAACTGTACTTATTATCTTTGCCCACTAGGTGTCACTACATCTACAGATAATGGCGTTGAAGGGAATACAGAAAACCAGCCAACAGAGTGGAAAAGCTTGCGCCTGGGTCACAGCGTTTATCCAGAAGGGAAAGCTGACTACCTAGCTTTTTTTCTGGGATGAAAATATTTTTCACAAATTGTGGTTTTCACACAGAAGACTCAAAACTTGACTCAAACAGAAAAATAAACTTGTAGCCACCATTGAAAGCTGAAGCTGAAAAGACTCCATGTTTGGAAAACTTGTTTTCTGAATGAAGCCAACTAAAAATCAAGAACTTCTTAAAATCATACTGTCAGCTCAAGACTTATAAAATGTGCCTGCCTCTTAAATATCAACATAATTTAGTGTAAATAAAAGACAGCATACAGATATGGTTCACAAGCATCTTCAACAGCAGTGACTTTGGGTTGTCTTCAGTAAAGCACCAGAAATAATGTTGTCAAAAGTGATGCTTGGTGTCATCCTGTCCCTCCTCATCCTTCTGACTGTGGGTGGTAATGTGCTGGTGTGTCTAGCTGTCTGCGCCTCACGACGCCTCCGCTGCCTCACTAACTGCTTCATTGTGTCACTGGCGGTGACAGACCTCCTGCTCGGTCTCTTGGTCCTCCCATTCTCTGCTCTCCTCCAGCTCAGCAGCGAGTGGCCGCTTGGCCCAGTCTTCTGCAACTTCTATATCTCCATGGATGTCATGCTGTGCACGGCCTCCATTCTAACGCTGCTCGCCATAAGTGTGGACCGCTACATGGCAGTGACTATGCCTCTGAGATATGCTTCTCTAGTGTTACCATGTAGAGTTGCTGTAGCCTTAGTTAGTGTCTGGACGGTGTCAGTGGCTGTGTCTTTTTTGCCAATACAAATGGGATGGAACACTGTTAATGGAACAGTGCAGAATCACGGGCCCTGGGCTTCTAAGGGGAAATGTCGTTTTGAGTTAAACAGGCCTTATGTACTGACAGACTCTCTTCTTACCTTTTATCTGCCTCTGTTGGCTATGTGCTGGACATACCTTAAGATACTTCAGATAGCTCGTGCACAGGCCAAGCGTATTATCAGGACCCGACCTATTCGCATCACCACTTACAATTGCAAGAACAGCCCTTCCACAAAGATGACTCTGGTTTCTGGAGTTACAGCTGTGGCGCTAAAAGACCACAAAGCAACACTGACATTGGCGGCAGTGATTGGGGCTTTTGTTGTCTGTTGGTTGCCTTATTTCATATTGTTCACAGTGCTGGGTCTAAAGGAGCATACAGACCCTGCCATAGTACCAGAATTCTCTATTGTTTTGTGGTTGGGATACGCAAACTCAGCCCTGAATCCTGTAATCTATGGAGCCCTCAACAGGGACTTCAGGTCAGCTTACGCCCAACTACTGAGATGTCGTTTCTCTACTTACAGTGGCTGGAAAAGTCAGCAATCATCTCCCACTTTTACGGCAGGTGAAGCAACTGCTTTGGAGCTTTAATTATGTCATAACAATTTCCAGCCTGATTATTCTGTTTCTTTCAGCTTGCTTTTCTTTAACAGTTAATTTGATTTCTCTTTTCCAATTCTTAGCAAGAAAGCAGCTAACAGAGGTGACACTACTATGTAATCAGACCAATACCACCAGTGCTGTAGCAATAACAACTCAAAACCTCAATCTTCAAGACCTCAACACTGATGGAACTGCTCCAGCCACTCACTCTACAAATGACACAGCTACCACATATGTCAGTGGCCACCAGGGGTAATTTGTTTTAAGATTTCAAAATGTTTTATATTTAAGTTAAACAAGTACTTTTTATTAAGGTTTGAAAACTGTTGATGATGGATCCCTTTTTTGAACTAATTAAGGCCCAACAGTAACTCTGTTTTACCCGTTGTTCTGTTAAAACATATATTAACAGATAAAAGCTCATTTACTTTTCTAAATGTGTGTGTTCTCTCTTTGTATTCAGTGATTCAGGTCTGTGCTGAGCATCTGCTCACTGTACACCCCTGATCCAGTATTAATCAGTCTGCAGGAAACAGGCAACACAAATGGACGGAGATGTTACAACCCCCAGCATAGTCTTTGCCACTGCATAACCAACCATAATGCCACATGTAAGTAGATATACTGCACATACTGACATCACTATAGCCCCCACAGGCCATATCTTGCCCAAAACAAATGAACTGTGACACAGATCCTTGCTGTGTCATCCATGGTGCAATATGCCATATGGCAGTATGCTTATTAGACCAAGAGATTTGCTTTTAGCCGTTGTCATCCTGTTTCATTACTTGTTTTTATTTCCCCTTCAAAAATGTAGTTAAAAGTTTGGAGGGAGGAAAATAATAAAGCTGTATTTGTTCCCTACGTAACTAAGATATTTACCAGATAGGGAGAACATAAGGGGGTCGACATATTCTTATGCACAAAAAAGCAATCACAGGATTTCACACAGATTTTTGTAAGCATTATCTGTATATGTGTGCATATTAAACAATTGCTGTTTTTTTCAGTGACACAAATTTGCTTTTAACATCTTGTAATGATTTTTTTTTTCATATATCATTTGTTTCCATGATTTACTAAAGTAGGTTTTATAAGTTGATAAAACTTTTATCTAACAAACATGTCCATATACAAATAGTCAATACTTCATTGATATCATCACCATTGGACATTTACGCAGTTTTGTTTCTTACAACACTAAACATTTTATTGGAGTTGTTTATGACAGAATAATGCGGAACAAATATATATATTGTCAAGTGAAAAGGAATTAGTTTTAGATTTGGAAGTCCCATTCATTTTCTCTTGCCTATCTGAGAGGAATCACTGGTTTTACAGGCTTAGTAGGTAAACCAAGACACCAGGCCAGAAGGGATAAAATGTCTCTTCAGAAAAATCTGGGTGTGCCCCAGGGTTTTCTCTTAGTGTGTCATCCTGAGCAGATGCCCAAAAACCCTTAATAGGTCCAGCAGCTATTCTTCATCTTGTCTCCTAATGGTTCCTCACCCTATCTCTAAGGGTGATAAGCTTGTATCAATGGTAACGATATTGATTGTTCAGCCATGGCCCACACAGTATCACAGATATCGGATTTATATGAATAGGTTATTAACAGATGTAACATATGGAGAAAGCTATGTCGTAATGTAGAAGGACAGAGGGTCTTCAGGCCCAACATCAGTGACCAATATGTCAGAGGACTTTAGTGTACAAAGAATATCATAAAGACCAAGAAATACACCTGTTAGAATATGGATAAGATTATTAATCCTTACCAATGTAAATTACACTTATAGATGACCTAAAGCTGTTAGAATGGAGAAACTGGGCAACTTTTCCAGACACTGTCTGAGAAAGGCACAGTCTGTGATTAGGTTGATTAGAATGCTGGATCCACACAGATTAAGTTTTTGGATGCCTATAGGTTAACAGCTCAGTGAGGACATTACAGTACTGAAGTAGCACAGCTATTTATCGTTTCTACAAACCTGGCTTTTTTTGAAAGAAGAAAAGATGTCCAACATGAATAAGTCACAATCCCGTTGGAGACCAAGTGAGCAAATAAAAGAAGGTGCTCTAGTAATATGAGAGCCAGTTGAAATGTACTGGCATACATTGAAATGGTTATACAGTATGTTCTGGAAAACCTAATATTCAACATTAGCCATGGAATCATGGTGGTGCAGACTGAAACATAGTCGTGGCAGCATCCAGGGAACAGACATTGAGATAGTAGACTCTTATAAGTACCTTGGTATTCACCTGAACAACAAACAGGGACTGGACTCACAATATTGAGGCTCTGTACAAGAAAGGTCAGAGCAGACTCTTCCTGCTGAGGAGACTCAGGTCTTTTGGAGTGCAGGGTGCACTCCTAAAGATTTATGACTCTGTTGTGCCTTTAGCCATCTTCTGTGGAGCTATCTGATAGAGCAGTGGCTTATCTATAGCTGAGAGAAAGTGACTGGATAAGGTGATCAGGAAGGCCATCTCTGTGATCGGATGCCCTCTGGACTCAGTGCAGGAGGTGGGAAACAAAAGGACCCAAACTAAAATAACATCTCTGTTGGATAATGTCTCTAACTTCATGCATGAAGCTGTTGCTGAACTGGAAAGCTCCTTCAGTGGCACACTGCTGCACCCAAAATGTACCAGGAAACATTATCACAAATCCTTCATCCCAGCAGCTGTAAGACTAAAACCATCACTGTTCCAAACAACCTTAATAAGTTGTTACATTCATGCAGATTTTTGCACAGTTTATATCTTAGTCAGTTTATATAACATGCTGCTGTCATGTTTTGCACATATCTGGTGTTGCTACATGTCAATTACTGTAAAAATGTCCACAGCTGTTTATTTATTATTTATTCTCCAGATACAGAGTATTTACATTGTAAATACACTACAGTACAGCATTTCTTTTCTTATTTTTTCAACTCTGTCACTTATTCCGTTGTTCGTTTCCACGTTATTTGTTATTTGTTTTCTAAGGTCCTAATTGTGTGACCACTTCTGCTATAACCTTTTGTTGCTGTAACACCACAATTTCCCCATTGTGGGACATTAAAAGGATTTTATATTATATTGTATTGTATTCTATTTTATCATGCACCAGATAAAAGGAAATGGTTAGAGTTGATGGAAATTGATATATCTAAATGCAATGCAAACCTTGAAGAAAACCTGTTAGGGACAGCTAAAGAGATGAGACTTTAGTGGAGATATATCATTCAGCAGGACAACAACCACAACTAGAGAGAACGGTAGATGAGACCCTTATCGAGTATACTGTAAGAATGTATTGTTCAAAACCATGACTTAGATACAAACGAGAATATTTGAATCAAAAACAAATCCTATCTATCCAATGTGACTCAGGTTGAGCGACTGGAGAAAAATTAGCTGTCATTTTCTAGATTTGAAGGCTGATACAGTTTTGTTTTTGTCAGCGGTGGCTAAAGTATTTCATTGACGCTCCTTTTTTCCATGACGATAAGGAGAACTGACAAGCTAAACATGTCTTTTTTTATTTTATGGCGAAAGAAGAGTCATGGGTGTGAGAAGTGTGTATTTGCGTGGCTTAGCTCTGAGTCTGTGCTTCACGCTACACACCAATGTTTCACTCTCAGCAGTATTGCTCTTCCTGCTCTCGCTACCAAATAAACTATATATGGCTGATCATCCTCTGCCAAGCTTTAAAAAATCCTTTTGTCTAACTATCAAGATTTCATTTCTTGCAAGAGATAATGCAAAACAGTCTTTAATTTATACCAAAAAGAACCTAAATGATATCCAAAGCAAATATTTAATTGCATTCTGTTTATTTTTGATAAAGACCCAGACAAAAAGGTACATTGACCTTTGAATATTTCTCTCTCATAGTTCTCATTTCCATATATTCAAATATGATGTAAATGTTTCTTTGTATTGTCATTAAAACATTTTCTCTGTTTCCTTTGAATATTTCAACATTATAATTAGCATATTAATTAAACGTAGTACCTACTTGGCATGGTATTATACGGCAATTATATAGGTTTTCTGTATATTTGTTTTTTACATCAGACCCTTATTTAAATCTACTTTGATCCCTGAGAAGCGGTGACCAATAGGCAAAAGAGAAGAATGTTGCTGTTCTTTGCTCTTTTGGAGTAATGATGATTTTATTGATCTGAGTGTAATGCATAATTCATAGTAGATCAGGAATTGTTTGCTTTTGGATGGAAACCTTTTATGTCTAAAACCATTCATTTATTGTAAATTTAGTTTGCTTCATTTTGACCAACATAATGTGTTGAACTGAACCTGCTATTTTCACAACTTTGGTGAGAAACATTGGAAAAAGTAGGCCATCAGTTCTTAAAAAATAAAAGTTTATTTGAATACTATAAATCAAGGTTTTCCACCCAACAGCAATGATGAACTGCTCGGCAGCATTGTATCTCCAGCAACTGCAGTATCTAGGCAAGAAAAGGTGTCAGTCTGGTAAGGAAACTGGTTGTTACTCAAAATTGTAAAGGTTACTTTTTATTTTTTGAAACCTTGAAACCTTTTTGATATTTAATCGACTAAAACTGGACTAAAACTATCACATCCAGTAATGACTAAACTGTGACTAAAACTATTAATAGTTTTCATTCTGAATACTAGAACTACAGTAAGAGTAAATCGAAGATGGCTGTCAAAATAACACTGGGCTGGTAAAGACATATTTGCTGTGAAAATAATTCTTCATGGAATTTTTCAGACTCTTGAAGTCTTATTTAGTTGCTCCTCTATGCATTTCGTTGTATTTGTCTATGACATAAAATGCTCATGAGGTCTACTTAAGTATTTCTATTAAGCAAATATTATTGATTGATTTACTTTTCGGCGGAACACACTGTTTCAGCGGCCTATCTTGTCACTTCAATTTTATGTGGCATTTGGCATAAGTATTAAGCAGGCTCTGCACTGGTGGCACCAAAAATGTGGTGCTCATTTCAGGAACCACATATCCTAGGTACTCGTATATGTGGGATGCAAATGAAACACCCATCTGCTCAAATTATTAAAGCTGGAAAATGTTTTATGTTTTACCTGTACAGATCATGTAAATATAAAAAAACCCAGCTTGTTTATTTGTTCCAGTATTAAAAAGAACTGTGAAAGAATATTTGCTGTAGTACTTGTGATATTGATATACTGTTGATCTTTACAACTCAATATGATGCAACCAATCTCAAACAAGAGACATTATAGTGAGTCTAATTTTATATTTGAATGTAGTATTATATATTAAGCAAATGCATCCTGTTTTTTGAGGACAGTCATTTTTTGACTGTAAATGTAATCCTCCACAAATATTAAGTTATTTTGGTGAAATGGATTTTTTTTTTTTTTGTGATAAATTAAAGATAAACCTTTAATCAGCGTTTTGCTTTTTCCCCCTTGTATTGAACATAGCTAATACTGAGCAAAGAAAAGAGAACCCAAGACCTCAACAACCCAGGACCTCATCAGTAAGAATCAATGTGCCCTCACAGCAGGATGTCATATGAAAAGTACTGAAGCTTTGCAAGAATACATGACACCAGCCAATTAGTTTGCAGATAACAACATCGATGGATCGTTAATTTGTGGGAAATTTTTTATCCTGACGCCAGACTGCACTCCAGTGGAAATATGAAGTACGACATCTCCAGCTTCAAAAGAACATTGCATGCATGTTCTCTTACAGTAATCAAATAAGAGAGGGAAAGTCATGAACAGATTTCTTGAGTGAATGGGCCTATGAGTTGAATCTGCAGCACACAATGTAATATTATGTTTGTTTTGGAAAAAATATATACTATCCGTCCCTGCCTCATTCTTGTTAATGCTGTTGCATGCGTTTGACAAATGTATGTATCACACTGATATATAAACACTACCAGTGACTTTTAATACACTGTATGTGGTGTTTACATTAAAAAAGTAATAAAAAAGTGTGTTCATGCCAATAAATACATTCTACAATACTGTTTTTGGCGGCAATACATGTTTGCTGAACATATGTGCATGTGTGTTTGAGAACATGAATGAAATAAAAACAGTTTGAAAATGTTACTTCAAAATGTCACATAGACAATCAATTATTTCTTTTATTAGTTATTTGGAATCCTACCATAACATACACTATATTTCCAGTTCACCCATACAGTATGGTAGTTTTATATAATCACATTTCAAATTACTAATATTAATAATCAAAAATATATGGAGCACACAGTTTTGATCTGAGCCAAGTTTAGGACATCTGTCTTTAAGGTTTGTCCAATTCTAACTACAGTATCAGTTCTGATGGGGTCTCCCACCAGATGACATAGCAGACTCCACTTGCATATTGTTAGACAAGGGGTGCTATTTTACCACTAGTTTAAAGGGGCACTTTATACAAGAAAACTAATTAAACAGATTGTATTTCTATATGGTAAGTATAGCAGTCTATCCATACCAGAAGATCGGTAGCAATTCATTGTTTTGTATTTAGATTTATCTCTTATTGCATTTGATGAATTATCTGGAAATATAGCAAAAAAATTGGCTTCATTATTTTAAAACAGGGGCAGTAATTTGTAACTGTAGATTAATGCATAATTCAGAGTTTAAATGACTACACAAATGCATAAGATTTTATTTTTTCAAATAAAAAACTGCATTATTTATCTTTAAAACATAACGTTGAAAACCTAATATTATAAACTGCCTTTATTAAAGTATGTTAACTAACAAAAAACTGTTTTTCGAAGCTGACAAGGTGCTAGGTGAACATAATTACAGGATACTGAAAACGAGGCCCATTGCAGCTCTTAAACCAGGATCACACATTATTCAAAAACTATTAGATAAATGACATTTTTTTTAAGCTAGTTACATTTAATTTTATATATTAAATTCAGAGGCATACTACAGTAGCTAAGATTAATATCTTCAAGTACCTTTAAGAAAAAGTATTCAGAGGATGTTTAGTTTCCCCCAACTATCAAACCTGATTCATAAGTGTCTTTAAAACTGTTTACAGAACCTAATCACAAGCTGTCCAAGTTAGGAATTTCCTTTATGTAGTTGTTTATAAACAGGAATAAATCCAAGATATAAAGGATATCTTTGGTTCACATGTACAACCCATTTACGTATATTAATTTACCAGCCTATAGACAAACTTCTTTAAAAAATAAGTGTTGTTTTACAGGCTGACACTACAGCCAGGAAACACTAATTAAATCTTAGACTATACTAAGTACCTAAGTAGATTTCTGTTTTCACCTTAAGAGTTCCCTGCTTACATGCTGAAAGTTGTTTTAATTTTCTGTTTCTCACAAATGTTTCTTTCTTGCTCACATCTCGAGAAAGTTTAACTTGGATGATCTTCTTTTAAATATGATCCGTCAAATAAGCCATAGGGGGAGTCGGCTCTTGTTGTCATGATTGGATTTTAGCGTTTTGAAGTCTTCTTGTAGCATCTTGTAGTCTGCTTTTAGAATAAACATGGTTGGATACCCAGACTTGGGCATATTGCTCGTTATTTCCAACATCTTCTACTTTAGAGTGATTAGCTGCTACAATGTTCTTTCTAAATTTGCAGAAATATATTTTCATATTTTTAATATTCAGTTTGGATTTCAGCATTGCATCAATGGATAGTATGTATCAATAAGTCCAAATATGTTCGCAAATACAGACACAAGGTGTTCTCAGGTCAATAACAGTCTTGGATTTTCTTTCCAAGAAGAAAGAAAAAAATATGTTTAAGCAAAGTTAAAGTGGTCAAGGCCTAATAAAATATACTGCAGTTTCTAAAACTGATCGAACAAAAATGAATTTATACTTGGGGCTGTAACCAAAACAGTGAACAAATAATGTCAGCATTCCTTTAAAGATCTTTAACAACGGTCTCGCATTTTGGAGCTTTGCTTTTGCAAAAACAGAAATCTAAATGTCTTAGCTTAAAAAACCAAAACCCCTTTTACTTGTTTTTGATGCTGAGGTTACAGAAATCTCTTCTTTTTGCACAGTAACTGCAGATTTTCTCCTTAAATACTCTCACCAAAATAATGCTTAGAGGAGTAAGGAAGAATGATTACTGTACACAACTCTTCCCATCGATGCGAGGAGTCTGAGTATTTATTAGCGGCAAAAAACCCAAACCCAAATGTAATAAGAGCCTTTAAAAAGATTTTTTAATCTAATTTTGCCTGTAGTGTAGAGGACAAGACAAGTGGACGTCGGTTAACCGCTCTTATTTGCCACAAATTGATTCAGCTTTCTTCTACTTCTTTTGCAAGAAAAATAACACCATGTCCCTTGATAATCCTGGTCACTTGACACCCTTTTCCTGTGATCATTAAAATCTCAAACCCCATGAAAACCATTCAATCACTGATTTTTAAATATCCGATGAACGTGGAACAAACAGAGCAGCGTACGCATGCATATGAAGGCACAAAATGCACTCACACACACAACTCTCTCCAGATAGGCTATCAATCATAGATATTGTCATTATTCTGTGTCATCTGCAAGACACTTTTTCCTATCTCTATAGTCTGTCTTTGGCTTTATCCTCTTTTCTTTCCACTATCTCTCTCCTTCAAACACACACACACACAAACAGAGCGGATCATGAATCATAAATCTTATGAATGCCATCTAAAGACTGCCTGGCACTATGAGAAAGAGAGATGATTGATAGATGGGTGTAGCAGTGGCGAAAATGAAGGAGCTGGACGGAAGGTTTTGAGAGGCAGCTCTGAGGTCGGAAGTAGGGGTTCAGGGGTCAAACGCATCAGAGCGACGGCGTACAACATCGCCGAGAGACAAGGCAAAAATGTCGGGGGGTGATGAGGAGGAGAATGAGGGAGGGAGTAAACGGTTGAAGAGAAAAGGAAAGAGGAAGGGTGTGGTGTGCTGCCACAGCGAGGCTAAAGCCATAACTCATCTTTTATTAAAAATAATGAAAAAAACTTAATGAGTTAATAATATCTGGAGAAAGAGATGGAGAGAGAGAGAGAGAAGCAGATGGAGGAAGGGACGGAAGGACAAAGGAGAAGTAAGGAGGAGAGAAAACAGCCTATATAAAAGAGAAACAGGGTCAGAGCGTGTCTCCAGTTTGGTCATTTGTTTCACTTTCCAAAGTTCACTCAAGATTCATTAGATGGACAGGGACAATCATAGCGAATGCTCTCTTTCAGCAAACCTAAATCCCAAAGCCTGCCTGGTAATTAAAGGCACTTAACAACCAATTAACAGTGATGAGCTAAATTAGCAGGATATTATCTGCTTTGAATCATCCACTGCATTATCAGTGTATTGAAACAGCAATGAACAAACCTCAGTGGCCTACGTTTGCATGTAGGCAAATGACGGATTAATTACTATTAAAACAGCAGCATCTTAATGAGCTTTGAAACAATTAGAGGGGTCGTTAGCGTGTAGGGGAAGGCTGAGAACAGAGGGAAGGGAGGGCGTGTGCAAAACAAGAGAAATCTTCATTGGGAGGCAATACTGATTAAATGGACGTACGGTCGCACTCATCGCCCAATATCCACGGACTTATTAAATACATGACATCACCATTTGTCTTTTCTACCATCAAACTACTTTCCCGCAGCCTTTAGTTTTCCCCCTTCTAATCAGGCTTCCCCAAGTCTGCCTTCGCTTCATCTCTCATAAAAAGCCTTTTTCTTGCTCTTCCATTTCTTTCTCCACTTTCTGCTTTTTTAACTCCCATCTCTCCCATCCCTCCTTCATGCTTGGGGGGCACAGTCCTGTGGAGGAATTTAATATGCAACTTTTATATGAGAAACCAATGGCATACGTCTGGGTCTATTGGGCTCGCAATCTATCGGCCTGGACGGCTAATGCAATAGAGGGAGCCGGGGCTATTTATCACGCAGGGAGCTATCTTTTCCTCTATCTCTCCCACTCTGCCCTCGCTCTCTCTGTCTTTATTCAAGCCTGGATTCCTGGCTGCCACTAAATCAGGCCAACTATGAGCTATGGCTGCCCAGAGGGCATCTCCTCTTTTATGGGAGGATTTGGATTTTGTATCTACTGGTTCCTCAGTGGTCGTTGAGACTGTGCTAACGGAAGCTATAAACATTCAACAAACAAAGGCAACAACTTAAATGCCACCCCCCACCCCAACCCTACCAATCCCAGCAGTAATGATTGTGAACATGCGGAGAAATACGGCAGGAGGAGGACGGATAAACCTGATGAATAAGATATCAGGGCCATTTACCACGATGCTGCAAGGATTTGTTTGCGTGTATGTCATCAAATACAGACAGAGAAACGATTGCACAGACAAGAAAGTTTACATTCAGTCATTGTGTATATTAATCTCACTGTGATAGTGGTTTTGCCAGTTACACATCTAGAGCTGCTCTTTTTCTCGTTTACTTTAATCTCACCTTATCTCTTTTCTAAGCTAAAGTAATCAAAAATAATACAGTATAGAACATAAAGAATTTTGTTCATAGCCTTAAGTTTGGTTGTTTGTCAAAACAATACATTCCATTTAATTCAATTTATATCAAAACACTTCTCTAGGCACTTTACGTATCTGAAAGCCTTCTGCTATGCTCAACTAGACTTTTGAAAAGACAGAAAACATACACAAAGCGAACACAGAGGCACTTCACAAGAATTACTTTCTATGTAAAATTTAAAAAATAATGGGAAGAGCTGTTGTTTGGTGGCTTCATGTGCAAAAACTAATCTCGAAATCAAGTCTACAGGATGAAAAAGAGCATTAAGCCGGGTATACAATGTACAAGTCCTTTTCGGGCCAATTCTACGGTGGTGCAAGAATTTGTTGGATCGGACCGAGTTTCAGTCTCATCGAGTAGTATACAGGGGGTAACAAGGGGAGATTAGCCTCTCACGACCATCTTTAGATCAGGAATCGTATTAACGGGAGAAAATCAAACATATTTAAAGTGTTTATGTGCAAATCCTGCAGTTGAAGCAGAGCGACTAGCGGCTTCAAGCTGATTTACCTGAACATCACGCCCTACGCATGTGCAAAAAAGGGA